ACGTTCAGGTGTAAGTTTAGTACTTTCAATATAATCAGAAAGTTTTGTTTGAGTTGGCTGAAATGGTTGGTAATCAATTTTTCGTTTTTTTGAAGAAGACTCACTAGTTTCACCTGCTTTTATTGCTAAACGTTCTAAAAAAAAGTCCCGAATCTCTGCTGGAACTTTTACACACAAATTTCCTAAGTGGTCTTCAAGAGTTGCTGGTGAGCCTTTATACCAAAAGGCTCCACAAAAATTACATGTCGCGTTCCAATGACCTTTTGAAATTTGCTTTCCTTGTTGAATATATGTTCCCCAAACTATTGATTTAGGTTTTCCACCAACTTTTCGTTTAGAGTACTTAAATTAGCCTCCATTTTGTAAGACGCGAATGTATTAATGTTTGTCTTACCAATAATGTTATATATTTGATTTTCACGTGAATAATTAAGTTTCAGAGAATTTTAATTAATTCGGATTGAATTTCGGATTTGGGCAGTATCGGACTCAATCGGACATTTCAGAAATTTTTTGTTGAGGCGTAACTAATATCGCCTAGATTTCGGATTTGGATCGGGCGTAATTATCAGGTTTCGCCCGAACCTTTAGATCAATTCTAATAAGACTGATCTTAGACTGGTTAATTGGACTGGTCTTTGCAGTCTTCAGTCTATATTCTGAAAACTAATTCAAACTGGTCCTTTATTATTTATAATATATTATTTTAAATTTTATAAATACTAAATAAATTATTTTATTTATTAAATATTACAAATTTAGAGTTGGATTGATTCAGTTTTCATCTATAAGTCAGTTTTTGGATCTATTCTAATATTTTACTATAATAGTAATTTCCGAAATGAAAATATCAGAAATGGAAAAATAATGAGATTAAGAAAGTGCAGGAATCATTTCATATGCAATTATTTTATTATACTTTTTTATTTATTTAAATTATATAATTATTTTATTAAATTGATCATTTTATATGTATATTTTTTCTAGTATATTCTAAACTGATCCTTGAAACAGCTTTATAAATCAGTTAATTTTGAGAGAAAATAAATCTTAGACCAGATTGGACTGGTAAGAGATTGAATGATATAAGATTGGTCTTAGAACCGGTCTAAGAATTGACTTATGGACCAGTCTGGTCCAAAGAAAGATGAAAGATTGATCTTTTTAGATTGGACTGGACTGGATTGAATTAATCCAATCTTAATTATACTATATATTTATTATGTTAGTATATTTAGAAATATAAATTTAGTTTTTTTCTAAATTTTTTTAAATTTAATAAAAGCACTTACCATACCATTTGAAAATAAGTATTTTGTGATAAATAAATATTTATTAATATTATTATTATAGCAAATAATATAATAAAATACCAATAACAAATAAAAAATTATTATAAAAAGAATATATCATAAAGTACTATTTTTTAGAATGGTACAGTATTAAGAAAAAATAAAATAATTTAAAAAACTTAAGAAAAATAACATTTGCTTTTAATTCTATTTTTAGATAAATTGTTGGTAAAGATTTAAAGGTAAAAATATGTATGTAAGTATATTAAAATATTAGTAAATTTATTATTGTATTTTTTAAATATATTAAATCATAGTTTAATATTTAAAGTAAATTAAAGTACTCAAAAATACAAATATAAGAATTACAAAAAAGTAATCAAAAAAATTATATAAATTTTATAAAAATTTTATATAAAGTTTTTTACAAAATATTATATAAAATAATAGCAAAAAAATACTTTTAATTTTATATATTATCTTTAAATATAATATCATTTGTATTTATTTAACTAATAAATATAAAATATTATAAATAAATAGATTAGCTAATTTTATTAAAAAGAATACATTTATTTATTAATTTAATTTTTTATTATATTTTTTTTATAATAATATTTAAATTTAATAATATTTAAATTTGAATAACATATTATATAGATTTATTTACTTTCTTTATTATTAATAATAATTTTTTTATTTTATTTTAAATTAAAACTTTTTAAATTAATTTAACCTATTCAAAGCTTTAAATATTTTTGATTTTAAATATTCTATATAACATTTTTTTTTATAAATATTATAAAATCTAAATTTATTATTAAATTATTAAATTTGCTTCAAAAGTTAATTAAATTAAATTCAAATATTTTATAATACTTTAAATTATCAACTAAAATTATTAAATATACAGAAATCAAAAATAAGTAGTAGAAACCTTTTCAAATGAAATATTTTTAATAGCAAACATATTAGTTTGCCTTTTTACCATGAATTTCACGGGATTCTATGATTTAATGATTGACATTTACTGTTCTAAATACGAAATAAGGTTAATGAATCATTTATTTATTTCCCATCTCGATTAGAAATCAATCTTGTTTATTATTAATCAAATTGTGTATTTATATATATATGGTAAATTCAAATGTGATCCCCTTTTTTTTGAATTCACTTCCAATAACATGACGGAACAAAATGATGTTCCGGAGGATCAACCGCAAGAAGAATGTTCATTAAATAAGGATATAGCATTAGAAATATCTCCAGTTGCTCCATTAAACTATTCAAAAAAGTTGCAAATCGGTGATACAAAATTATTGGTTGTTGACAAAGAGGATGATATTATAAGCGGGGAAGCTCTTAGTTGTTGTGTACTCGGTAGTCCAAAACATGTAAATATATTTAAGACACGTTTATTTATTTCAATATATTTATACAATATTTAGTTAATTGCATTTAAATTATACCTAATTTAAATAGGTAGCAGCATTGAAGGCAAAAATTGAAGAATTGAATGCACATTCCGAACAATTGGAGCAAGAACGCAGAGAAGCTTTATCACATTCCGAATCCGTATCAAAACAACTTGATCAACTTGTAAAAGAATTATCACAACTAGGTCATGACAATAATCAAAAAAATAATGAACAAACAATTCATGCCACGTTTCGTACATTTGGTACATTACAAAAGCTTGAAATAATAGCAGATGAAGAAGATTCAGCTGAAGAATATCATAAACATGATAGATTAATGAGAAAACCTAGAGTTAGACAATATTTTCATGCTGGCACTTTACATAGAGAAGCTGAAGAAAGAAGAGTGAATTTTACAGAATTATTTTGGGATTTGATTTTCGTAGCCGTGATTGGAAATTTAGGTCATGTTTTGGTCGAAGATGTTTCTCTCGTTAATATTGAGAGATTTATTTTAACATTGTAAGCATTATCGAAAAGTAAAAGATTGTATGACGCAGCAAACCAATAATGCATTTTTTTTAAAAAAAACTTAGTTATCCTATTTGGAGAATATGGTATGATATGACCCTTTATTTGAATATGTATAGCTCAGATGATTTACTTGAGAAATTTCTCTTGTTTTTTGTAAGTATAAATTCATATACATTTATATCGTGATTGTTTCGCAGAAAATTGGTATATTAATTCTTAGACACAATTTAGGAAATGGTACTTGTAATTACTATGGGATCACACGCGTCAGATTTATTCGGTGAAACCACACATATTTTTCTCAGTAAGCATTAATATCTGACAATTAATGCCTCACCTAAAAGAATTAAGGCTAACATATTTACTTGTTTATTTGTGTTATTATTTATGTAGTTTCGTTCGTAATTGCACGAATGACGTTCATGTTTTTGAATTTGTTACATGCGACATGGATCCCGTTATTTCGTATACCGTTTATAAATACTGCATGGGGAATCTTCATTCCATGTATTCTTTGGATTATAGCAATATTCTTTCCTAGAAATAGGATCGCAGTAATGTGGGCTGCATTCGTATTTGGTAATATAAAGAACGTTTTTTGTTTTCAGTGATTTAAACTTAGAGGTTTTTTTTTGCTATTTTACGAATAGAGAATCTATGGTCTGGCGGCATTTTATTCTTGAATCGATATGCAAGTAAAGTATTTAATCGAAATAAGACTGCACGAGAAGAATTTGAAACAACCGATAATTCGACAGCTACTTTGGAGAGTACTTTAGTTAACGATTCCTCACCCACCTCATCCACCTCACCCACTTCAACTTCTCCAAAAAAGCATGCGCCAAATAAAAAAATGAAGACTCGTGGTACCGAATATCAATGGAAATGGAAGGATTTATTACCAATATTCAGAATTTCAGAATATAAACCCGCATTAAATATAGAACATTATAGTGAAAGATTAGGATTATTTACTATTATAGCTTTAGGTGAAGGGGTAAGTATACGTAGCAAAGAGCTCGTGACGTGAATTCATTATTTGGTGATTTAATTGATTATATTATTTTTAGATTATAGGAATCTTATATACTAGTCTCAATCCGTCGCCTGATGGTCAGCTCGTCAAGGTCAGTTATTGAGTTGACCTTAATTTTTGATGTATTTATCACTGATATACTTACTGTTGATATATTTTATTAGGCAATATTAGGATTATTAACTGCGTATAACTTGCATTGGATATATTTCGATGTGGATGCTAGTAGACAATTTCAACATGCCGTAAGAAGACACGCTTTTACTGGGATATTATTTGCATCGATACATTTTCCCATGGTGATTTATTTATAATACTAAAAATGTATGAATTGAACACGTAATGACCTTTTTTTTTATTAACTAAACATTTTATTCTAGAATATGGCGTTGATTGCATTTGGGTAAATTCATTTAAAGATTTAATTTCGAATCTTTTGATCGTACCGAAATTATTAGGCAATTTTTTTTCTATAGTACGTCACTAGGTAAAATGGTGCAACTTCGTGATTTTCCTGGTTCTCAATATATACCGGTAGAAGACAGTGTGGCTCATTTAGAATCAAGAGCGACTCCTGATGCTGCAACTACGGATGACGCAGGATTTACTTCATCATTACGTTGGTTGTACTGTGTTTCATTGGCGATTTCATTATATTGTATGGCTTTTATTGGAATGTTACACAAAGGATTAGATGATGCTAATTACCTAAGAATTCGAAAGGTAAACATCTTAACAAAATTAAAAAGTATCAAATTATTTGATTTATTAAAGAAAATTTGTATTTTTTAGTCTTATCGAATTTCATTAAGGTTCATAATTGGAACGATTTACGTATTATTACCATTAAGTAAAATTAATTCATTAAATTTGATCATTATAACTTCAATGCTTTCATTATTGTTGGTTATCGTTGAAATTTATGGTAGATTAAGAAAAGGGTTGCCGTTATTTGGTAATTGTGATGATGATGTTTTACTAGATTCTCATAATAAGAAATATGTCAGGTGGAGATGGGGAAATAAAAATTTAAACAAGAGAACTTGGAGTACCGGAGTTTTAAGAAAAAGGAACGAAAGCAAAAATAACGAGAATTAGATTGATGATTTATTTTAATTATTTTTGATGCGATTCGCAAATTGGGTTTTAAAAGATGTATTATTATTATTATTATTATTATTTTTTTTTTTTTTTTTTTTTTTATCGATGTGGCACTGCCATATTATTATTATTATTATTTTATACATAAAACTTTTCTTGTTCGATATCAATATAAATAAGATTAATTTTAAAAATTGTTTTCGCGCGATCACCTCTGAAATTTCTAAAAATGTATATTGTTTCTGTTGCACGATATTGATAAAATGAAGATGGGAACAAATAACGCATGCATAATAGTTGCATAAATCGTCATTTTAGATATATTTATATATATAATGCTTAGAAAACATCTTTAAGAAGGGGGAAAAAAAATCATCATCAAAATGACTCCAGACATACCAACGATATTAAAATCGATCTTTTTCACAATAATACTTTTAAACATAAAATCATTTCCATTTGCATATCACATTAGACATTTTTCAATAGTTATGAGATCTTTAACATATAGAAATAAGGAAGGAGAGAAAAAAGATTTGTTTCGAACAATTGAACATAAAAATACCGTTTTGTTCGATGACGTAAGTTATTCGATGCTTGTTTGTTCGTTTCTTTTATTTATACATTATTTTTTTTAAAAAAAAAAAAAAAAAATTTAGATGGATTCTAATATACATATGAGTAATAGGTAATTAGATTTTTTTTTTTTTTAAAAAAAAAAAAAATAATAAAATCGTTTTCTCGTAATCTCCTTGAATGAAAAGAGAAAATATTAAAGTTTTTTATTTTTTTAATTGGAATAGCTCATATTACAAATTGCTAGATTTTTCACGAACGAAACTAATGGTTTCATTATTTGCTAATGCATTTTGGAAGTTTAGACCAGTCATTATTTTAAAATGTAAGGATAGAAATATATATATTTTTTATTCGATCATTTTATTTATTTTTTATTCACTCGATGATTTCATTTTATCTTTTAGCCGTCACAAACATCTTCAAAAGCGAAATTCCACTATTTTCAAGTTTTTCGATACATAGTGGAGTATTTACATGGGATCACAAATGGATTTTTATAATAAGTTATTTTAGAATTCATCGCACCAATGCAATCGCTTCAATAGCATTATTAAAGGTTATATTTAAAGAACCTAGTGGTAAAACGATTAAACCCGAAGTATTATTTGAAACTTCCGGATTCTTTAAGAATGAGAGCATAGAAGAAAAAGAAGAGACGGAGAATAAAAGACAATCTAGGATGAAACTCGTTGAACAAATATTCCCAAATGAGTTATTTGATGAAACTTTTGCAAGAGATTTCTTGAATGATTTAAAGGCAAAGAGCAATAATAATGTAGCAGCAAAATTATAGTGACGGATTCGGACTAATTAACATTTATTTATTGGAAAAAAGAAAAGGTTTTTGGGAGATAGGGTTTTTTATACATTCATAATAGGTATCTTTTTTTAAACTACAATTTTCACAGAGAGGATTGTTATGTTCGATAGTTCCAATTCGAAGTTTTAATCGGCACATCTAAACAATTAAAAGGAGAGATTAATTTAATGAAAGAAAAAAACAAAATAAAATAAAATACACATGATAAAACTTACCATAAAATAGATTATTAATTTCTTCGTCAGCGTGTACCGTTATGTTAAAATGATTTTTTGCTTCCTTTACACATTCTTTTGAAAGGTAAGATGCTCTTGTAAAATAAGGAATTCCGATTTCTTTCAGACACTTTTTTCTCTTTGAGTAATCAATAAGAATTCTCAATGAAGTATCTTTGTAAGCTTCGTAACGATAAAACTTGACGCATTGAATATTAAATTTTGATTCATTAAGTAAAATTCTTAAATTTTTATCCACCATGGCAAAATTGACTTCGAGAATTTTTAAAGAACGAGCAAGAGATTGAGTGAACTCTCTAAATAAATGACCACATTCCGATAAATAATATCGATCCGAGATGGTATTTAATTTTAAATGTACCAATTGATGTAGGTCCTTTAATAAAACTATTAAATCCACCAAAGCATAATCGTGATCTAAAACCAAATGAAAATGAGTTAAATTTAAATGACTTTGTTCTTGAACTTCCCTAATTAAAGGACAATAAATATCTTTAATTTTAAGGGATTTCAAATTATTATTCGTTGATGAAAGGAGTCGTTTAAAGAGTGCTCTTGAATTTTTGGAAAGGAAGGTGATACGATAATTATAATTTAGGTGTTTTAAATTATTAAAAAGGGACGTTGGAAGGGTTGAAATTTTTTGTGAATCATCCCCATCAGAATTCATAGGGACCAGGTTAAGTTCGAGTGTGATTAAATTTGGTAAAGAATTTAATATGGATAAAAGTGCCGTGGTATAAATTTTAAAATTTACTAATCTCAAAAATGTTAAAGATTTTGATGCGTTAAGAAAAGCTTCAGGAATCAAGCTAACGTTTGTTATTAAAGATTTTAAATGTCGTTGGGATTGAATGAAATCAACTAGATTTTTTGAAAATTCGGGATGATACTTTGTCGTATTAATAAAAATATGTAAATGTTGAAGATATGATGATAATGAATTTTGAAGGTTTAGAAAATTCGTAGTAATTAACGGTATTAAACTCATACTACTCCTATTAAAAAATCCCAATGACAATCTGTTGACATTGATTAAACTTGATTTATGATTCCTAAATTCACAAATGTCAAACAAGGAACTTGGTCCACTTAATAATTCGGTGTAAAAAACATCAAGCGAATGATATTTATTCTCCTTGCTAAAGAGTAAATTCCCGATATAATGATTAAAATTAAAAGTCCTCCTGATGGATCGACTGTCATTTGGTTCTTTTAACAGATTTGCTGAGGTCCAAAGTTCCATCGCTCTTTGCAAAGGGTTCAATTCAAACTCTTTAATATACGTGTGATACTTGAAAAATGTCGAACCTACAAGTTTCAAATAAGCTTTTATTGATGGGTCAAGACAACGAACCAGCGTGTTAAATAATTGAACTAATTTTTTATCTTTCTTAATGAATTTAAAAGGGTTTCTCCAAAGGATTGGAATAAAAATTCTACAAAATGATCTATTTACGCGGATGCATGAATATAATGTGTGTAAATCATTTTTGAGTATGTTCATGATGATTTCATGACATTCTCGATAATTTTGACTTAAAATTGCAATAATATCAACTTTTTTTGACATTTTGAAAAAGTGGTTGAGAAAAAAATTTTTTTTTTTTTTTTTTTGTGAATTAGGAAAATTAATACCCTTTATATAGAGCTTTGTTTTCAGATTCAGATCATGACTAAATCCGGATGTTTTTGTTTAAATTCTTCCAAAATAAGGAACAATAAATTTTTCTCCAAGATAAAAAAACCCTCCTTCATTACGAAACGCCGCAGCAATCTATCTCCGAGTTTCGTGTTCAAACGTTTGTAAAACCAGTATTAGTGTGTCCTTTTTAATACAAAGGCGAAAATCGAACTACTTTCAAAGTTCGGATTATAATCGTAGAAAATTTTCATGTATTCAGGGCTTGTGTAATTTATTGTGAAGAGTAAGCGTAAGTATTGCGCCACATAAGTCTCCGCCATTTGTATTATTTTATTAATCGCATTACATAGTTAATTTTTGTATCGCAAAGCCTAATATAAATTGTTCAATTTAACATGCAAATTTCAAACTTAAATCTGTTGTTTTCCGTCATGAAAATGTATGGTCTTCCTGGAATTTTAGTTTGGTAGGTGCTGTTTAGTATATCAAAACCAACCAGACCGCAATCAATATCATTAGGAACTAGCTTTTGCCACGAAAATATCTCATCGGTCTCAATCCAGTCTGTCCAGATCACTCCATCACCTAATGAGACTTCCCACGGAATGTTAGCCTTATAGATTTCCACATTTTCCCCATAACCACTGGAACGGATTGGGAATTTACTCCAACCATAATCGTTATTCATCCTCTCTCTTATGAAGTGTGGTAAAATGGTCATTGTTGATCCTGAATCAATTAAAAGCCGAAAGTTTCGATTATTCGTGTCCCGATCAACATTGGCCAATGTTGCAACTTCATTATTAGAATCACTTTTTCTTCGAATTCGCATATGCATCTGATATTTTGGCAAAAGAAAGTTCCCAACAATGTCCAATATTTATTTGCATGTAAAAGCAACACAAACCTGCCATTCCTTCAATGTCACACTTGCGGTCGAAGAGAATCTGATGAAAACTGTCATTTGTTTGATAGGAGCATACAACATACCAGGATTTTTCTTTTCGAGTTCAAGATATTCCTCTCCAGATAACTTATGTCCATAACCCACTAACTTTCCATTTATAAGAAGGATATAACTTCCTTTAGATTTATCAAGGCTTCCAGACTCTATAAGCCGACGGTATGCAAGTCTATTAATGGCGAGTTCTTCCCCTTCTCCTTCTACTTAACATTTACCAGGATTATTAATGTAATCATATATAGCACGGCGCTCACTGATACGACTTGTAGAAGGCCACTCGAAATCGGGTCCAACAAATTCTGTTAAGTGATAATAAAGATATAATAATTCATATATATAAATCAAACGGAGTGTCAGATTTATTGTGTACCATAAAATTTCTTTATATCCTCTACTTTCAATGGCTCGTAATATTCAAGTTTATTGAGTTCAAGTTTCTGAACAAACTTTTTGAGATCTGCATCTTTGGAGTTGAATTTTTTGACATGCTCTTTAAATGCATCATTAAACTTCTCTTTCGCTTCGGACTCAGTCATAGGTTTAGACATTTTACCACCTGTAAGAAGGTCGGTAATTTTAGCATACTTTATACTTCATCAGAATATAGAATATCAGTATATCACTAGAAATTACAAACCATTGACCGATTCAGTTTCAATTGAATGAATGAGACTTTTCAGGTAAGTCAAAGTTCTTATTTACTGTGTGTAGGTTAGCACGATAACACCATTAGAATATATAAACGAACAAAAAAAAAATTATTAGTAATAAAAAAACATACAAATCAAAGATCTTGTTTTAAATAGGCAAGTTTCTCGTCATCATTTTTACAGACAGCAAAGGTTTGCTTCGCACCAGCTTTGGCTTTATCATTTACAATGAAGTATGAAAGTAGGGTAGACCTTTGTTCTTGAGCAAGGCTGGGACGAGCAATTTCAATAAAATGTTCGAACTGGTGGTTTCTTTGGTTCCAAGTAAGTTAGTATCATTTAATAATATTGATCGAGTTGACATTATTAAACAACCAGAAAAGTTACAAACCAGTCTTTTTATATTTTCTATAAAAGGCCTTGTTGAACATTTTGTTTGGAATACAAATAATACGAATTAAACGAAATAAGTAAGCTTTTGACGATCAAAAAAAAATATCTCATGTTCAAGTATGTAGTTGGTGGCTTAGAATGGTTAGAATGATGTATTTATGACTATGTAGTTTGTCATACATGTCACGCCAGTGAAATTACTATTGATGGATTTTTTCCGTAATCAATAGATTAAAAGTTTGTTTATCAAATTTTTAAGGTTTTAATGATAAAATGCCTCCTATTTCAAGACGTGCTCGCCACCTGAAAAAAGCTCAAAATTACACAGCAGATCTCAAGGAATCAAAACTAGGATTAATTGCAACAAATCTTGCCAAGGAAAATTTAAAAGATGTTCTCAAATTCGACCTTAAGGAAATTCGTTCTCAAAGGAATAAATCAAGAAAAATTCAGAGATACAAGATAATCAATTAAATGAGATTCAAACTTCGCAACTCTTTAAAAAATGTTTAGTAAATAAAATTCTATTATTTAATATAATAAAATTATATAGAAATCAACATAATAATGTAATGATTTTCAGAAATAAGATGAAATAATAGGAATTAGAAGAAAAAGGAAAACAAGCGGAAGAATTGAATTAGAAATTAATTAAGCATCTAAAAATAAAAATGAATATGTTAAAGAATTAGAATTAGAAATGAGATAGAAGTATTAAAATTAAAAATAGGATATGAAAGAAGAAATGAGAATTAAGAGAATGATCTATGAAAGTATTCAATATTAAAATTAATATAAAATTAGACATAATTAGTCTTATAACAAAATTATGTAATAATTATTCTGAAATAAATAAAAGAATTTAGGTATAAAAATGTAATTATTTATTTATGTATTAATATTTATTATTATTTTATAAATTATTTAGAAATAATATAAAAAAATAAATAAAAATAAAAAAATATAATAATAATGAAATACAGATAATATAAGAAGAAGATAAAATAATAAAAAACAATTATAAAATAATTGAATAAAGATTAAAGAATATAATAAAATAATAAAAACAATAAAAGATATAATAGAAGAATAAGAAATATATAAAAGAAAAAATATTTATTATGAATAAAGTTAACAAATATATAAATAATAATAGGATAAAAAAGAAATTTTATAAAAAATAACTAAGAAGAAACATGATAAAATGATTAAAGTTCTTTAATAAATATATAAGGAATAATAAAAATAAAATATAATTAAAAAAATATTTAAAGAATAACTAAAAAGAACTGAAGATAAAATTTAAATTAAATTAGAAAATAAAAATAAAAATATAAAAATAAAGGATTATTAAAAATGTACAAAGGTCAATTACTTAATATATTATTTAATAGAATTAAAAAAAATAAAAAATAAATATATATAAATAAAAATAAAATAATAATATAATAAATTATGAATGAAATATAAACATAATAATATTTATATAACAAATAAAGAACTCAAATAATATTTCAATCATAAAAATAAAAATTAATTTTAAAATAAATATTTTTAATAGTAAGTAATAGAAACAGATTAAGAAAATACAAGTTTTATTAAAGTTATCAAATTCATAAAATATCAATAATTTGTAAAATACAAATTTTAATAATTAATATATAAAAAATATATATTACAATATTATAGAACTAATTAGATATAATGAGAATTTGAATATTATTAAAAATAGTATTTTTATTAAATTATTTACTAATCTTATCCTTTAATTTATATCTTTATAAATCTTTTATTCATAATCAATTACATAAAGAATAAATATAATGTTATTAATTTTTATTAAGAGAGATTTTAATGCATTAATTAAATTATTAAACCTAATTCTAATTATCTGACATTAAAAAATATGTTAGTAGAAATAATAAAAAAAATAAATAAATTTCTTTACTCATTTTTTAAATATAAAAAAGATTTTATTAATCTTAATATATTTTTTTAAAAAAGTATCTTTTTACCTTTTTTTTTCTTAATGTAATATTACAATTTAAAAATTTTTACTTACTTATAAATTTTAGCATATAAGATAAACTTTTAGCTAAATCATCAAAAATTATTCTAATTGATTTTTTTAGATTATTTTAAAAACATGTATTTATATATTTATTAAAAGCTAAAAGATTTTTGTGAAAATATTTTTTTATTCTGATATCATATAGTATAGATATCATATTTTATTATTATTAAACATTTTTTGAAATTAAATATCTCTGTATTTAATTAATATCTAAAAATAAGAATCTTATCAAAAAATTAGTAACATTGAAAATATAATATATAATTAATATAAAATAGATTTACAAATTATTTATTTACTTTTAAAAATAATTTTATTTATTAAAAGTAACTTAATTACAAAAACCTATTTATTTATACTGAAAGCAGTAGGAATTGACAGTTTAAACAAATCTGATAAAATTGATATAATTATTATTATTATTTTTATTATTATTATTTATACTAAATATATTATTATTATTATCTTTATAATTATTAGTAGATATATTAGTTTTATTATTGTTATTAATAGTATTTTAAATGTTAATTATTATTATCATTAATCTTTTTTTATTATAAATAAAATATAAAAAATATTTTGAGAAAAAGATATGATTATAAGGTTAAATTATTAAATATAATATATATTAAATAATAATAATAAATATCAATAATATTTTACAAATATAAAAACTTATAATTTTATTCTTGTTAATCAAATAAATTTTCTAACTAATATTATATTAAGTTAATTAAATTTAAGTCTTAACTTATTTAAAGAAAAAAGTAATATTTATAATGTATAAAAACATTTTTATAACTTAATAAACTTATTATTATATATAAAAAGATTTAATTCAATTAAAAAAAGAATTATCTTCTAAAATAATAATTTAAAATCTATAAAAAATAAAAAACTGCAATTAATATAAAAAGAATATGTATTAGAAATAAATTCAATTTAGAATTACTTAACTTATAATCTTAATATATTAACTAACTTTCTATATATCTCAATCATAAATTTCTTATTTTCTTTAATTTCATCAAACTACTATTTTCTAATTTATTTAAAGAATTTGATATTTTATATATTTTAAAAAAAATCTAATAATTATTTCATTTGAAATATTTTCTATACATATTTTACTTAGCTGTAATTTTTACTTAATCTAATATATTACAAGTTTTTAGATATAGTCTTTTTATATTATTAATTGTTATCAATAGATATCATATTTTATGTAAATTATTTTTAAAAAGTTTATTAATCACTATATTAAAGGATTTACAAATACTTGTCAGTTCATCCAATATCATTATTAAATTAAACTTATTTTTTACAAAATTTCTCTTTTACAAACTCTTTTAAATACTTTTAAAGAATCATAGATTATTAATTTTAGAAGTTTAGATTTATTGATTTTATTAATAAAATAATTAAGTAATTTTTTATTTTATTCAAATTTATTTATTCATTTTTTTAGAACTAAATAATAATACTATCAAAAATTTATTTACTATGTGAAATTCTTTTCTTTTGAAAATATAATAGAAAATAGCTTTTTTCTGTTTAATAATATAATCTTTAATTATCAAAATAATAAAAAATATTATAAATTTTTAGATAAATTAAAAAGCAATAAAAATGAAATTTATTTATAATATAAGTTAAAATAATGATGAATTAATTTTTTTGTTACTTATTTTATAGATATAAATTATTTATTATTCTTTGTATTAATAATAAAATTTTCTAATATATTAAACTAGACAGAAATCTTATTTATATTAAAAAATATTATAATATTTGAAAGACTTTTTAATTCTAAGATAGATAATAAATTATAAATATTGTTTCAATAATTTTTTAATCTGCTTTAATAATTTTTAAAAGTTCTTTATATATCAGTATAAGATAATTTATTTCTTTTTATAAATAAAGTTAATTAATAAAATAATGCCTTAAAATTTTCTGTAGAATTACCATAAAATGCAATTATTTTAAGTTTTTAAAATATTAAATATAATAATTTTTATAGTTATATATATTACAGCTTTTTTTTTCAAGTGTGATAGTTTCACATAATCTTTATTATGATAAAAGTATAATAAAAAATTAAAATATAAATCAAGAAAAAATGAAAATCTCGTAAAGAATAGAAAATCTAATCTAAAGAAGACTGACCTTGTATTCCTTTGAATCAATTTTAACCTAAGCTAAAAATATTATTTTTGGGCAAATAGAATAAAAAAGAGTAAAAGAGAGCTTAATTACTATTACATCAAAAATTCATCCAATGGGATCCAAGTTGTATCATGATAAAAATTGGATTAGGGTTGTTATTGTAAGGAATTGCATATAAGAAATAAAAGTTAAAAATAACAAAGTTCTCATTTTTTCAATTGATGATGATATTTATAGCTTTTTTAAAGTTTGATTGAATGATACATCTTTCAACTCAAAAATTATAAATTTCTTTAAAAATAAATTACATAAAGAAAGAACAGGCAGCTAAGGTTATAGGCATATGTGAAATATGAGCATAAATAAATTTAAAAAGATTGATAAGAATAATTTCTTTAATAAGAATAAGAAAGGAAGTAAAAATCAATAAACTCTACTAATTAAGTCTTTCAATATTGCTAATTTATGCATTGATGAAAATTTGAGAAAATCTTTTATATGTAAGATGAGTAATTTCATTTTATAATTAATCATAAAGCAAGTCCAAATATGATAAAAGTCTATATTCACAGCATCACATCTAGAGTATAGAGATGAGAATGAAAATAAATAGAGATATTTATTATATATATTACAGCTAAATTCTGCTTTCATTATTCAATAATCCAATTATATAATTTCTTTTTAACAGCTTTAAAATAATATACATTTTAGTAAAAATTAATTTTAAAACATATCTTCTTATTTTAGTTATTCATTTTTCACTTACTTTTATTTAATAATTAACTATACTAA